CACTCATTTCAACAGACAATTAAAGTAGATAAACTTTATGTTGAATAACAAGAACCTAACTTAAAATTTTTTTTTAGGTTCTAGTAAATTCACATTTTTGATTATTAGTTTAGTTTAGTAATTATTCTAATATAATGGTATAACATATTCTGGTATATTAATTTAATAATAATAACTTTAAAATAAAAATCAGTATTTACATAGTTTATTTTAAAAGATATAAAGAATTCCATGAACAAATTTCAATGAGAATTTATATGGTTACTTATATAGTTATATAATATGTACTTGTACTATAGAAATTCATATCATGATTGTGGTAGTAACACTCGTAACGCATTGATATATTAAAGGCAAATAATCCTAAAAATCAATCGAACTAAAATACATTGTTCTTTAGTATTATAACATATGGAATGACGTGCTATACAAAATTAACAACAGTTTCTTAGAAATGTTAATATAAAATGTATATGAATAATCTTACAGGCCTTCTTATGTTTATGCTATTTGTAGAATATCGTTATTGCAAGAAGGTACATAAGAACGACTGACACAGCATGAATACAAACAGTAATTATTTGGAGATCAGTCCAAATAGTGTATCTACGTTCTAGGCTTTGAGCCTTAAAACAGGTGATGCGTGCTCTAAAGATAATAACGTCCAGTTTATTGGAAAATTAAATGGACCAAAAGCACAATAATTACATAGGATTTGCTAATGTTCTCCAATTGGTTTGTCGAATATGTCGATATTAGACAGTTTTATCTTCATAACCTCGACCGAACTCTTCGTTTCCGGTTAAATTGTTTTCCAACTACGCGTTATAACACACCGCTGTAACCATTTAGTAGCCAATCGTATAGATTCAAAACATTATTAATTATTTACTAAAATTCCTGAAATTCAAGTTCGTATATTACACGACCGAACAGTGAAGTATCAGCCGTTCACCTAGAATAATTGTAATTTAATGAATTCCTAGCTTAATATACTTCGTGTAGCAGTCCATAAAAAATTGATTTTCAAATGTATTCATTTTATAAAATTGTTTTTATAACATATACATTTTCACTACATTTTTATCATAATATATTATAATCAAAGCAATCATAATAAAAGTGTAACTATTAAAATCATAAACATATAAATACCTCAAGGTACAAAGATGTATACCTCATTTAAACTTATTAGGTACCAAATATAAATTCTCTTTATGGTGTAGAAAAAGACGTTATCATTTTACTTTAATAATTTATATTACATTGTGAATGTAGAGAAAGCTCGGCAGAATTAATACAATGCTCAACAGATTATTTAGATGCAATTTATAGTTTTATGACCTCAGGATTAGGGGAGTAATAAAAGAGAGTTTAAATTACAAATATAGAATAAATTAATGTTAATAATAATATAATGTTAGATTGTTTGGTCTACATATGTATATATTCAGTTTATACGTAGCAATGTAATATAAAATGGCGATGCTAATAGTATAAATGATGGGTGACGGATGAGTAACAATACAATTATATTCCGTACCTACGGTTGTCTATAATCAGTATATTGAAGTACATATTTTATTTATCTACACTTATTTTTATTTGGTATCTACTGTTTAGTAATTTTCCATTTTACCGTATTCACCGAGGTTCGGGTGCCTTTATGTTAATATTAATATTATTAATTTCAGTTGACTTTTCTGAAAATGTTAATATTAAAATATAATTAGCATATTATGCTGGATCAAGTATGTAAAAATGTATACTAATGAAATATTAATACAGTGTACTCTACACTCTGCAGGCATTTCATCGGTATACATATATATACAAATATCAGACTTTGAAAAACTGAAGTGATTATACTTGCCAACAGGATTTACAAAAAATACCCGATGTTGATGTTAGGACGGTGTTTAGAGTACTGGGAAGTTAAGCAGGATAATATTACCAACTATAGCTGTGGTAATAACGAAGAAAATCGCTACACTAATGACATATTACTGCCTCATGTGTTTGCACTAAAGTAATGTCATCTCATATTTCTCCCGAATAACAAGTCAGAAATAAATCATAATCATATTCGTCTTAAACATCTTGTATAATTGTAATTATTATTTACCATAACACAGCTCTCAAAATATAGAAAACATTTGATGTTCAATCAACAGTAAACCATATTTTATAATTTTCGCAACTATTTTTTAGAAATGATTGATCATAATATACCAATTTAACACATCTTAGAATTTAAAGAAAGTGATGAAAACAGACACTTATATGATTTGGCAAATTGTAAATGTATTTTCATTTTATTAAGTATATACAGTAAAATAATTAGGAATACAGTTAAAGAATACTTTTAAATACTTACTATACTTTTAAATTGAAATATTCTATGAAATGTTTTAAAACTATATTAATGGGTTATATTTAATTTAGTTAGGAAAGATAACTTTGCTGAATTTTTTTTAAGAGTTCTCTATTTATTTTATTATGGTCTAACACAAGTTTAAAATATTCTATAAATCCATCATAATTACACAATATGTTGGACTGTTAAGGTATGAATGTATGGTAGGCCATTATTTTGATTATTATTAGTTGTTTTGACTTCTTCCAATTTATTATTTTATGTTTCCATAATAACTGTTTTATTTTTATTTACTTTTCGTTTGCAATGAGCCAATGAACATCCGAAAATGACACTGTTTCATTATGGCGAGGATAATATGACGTAATACTGTAGTAGTACTTCACGATAACAGTATGGTTTCTTTATTAAAATTTCAAGGTAAAAAATTAATCACTTTTGTTAAATTTCTTTTTTTATAAGCCCATATGAGCTTAAGCCTCGGGTTTAACGCAATTTACTAGAGTTATTAGAAGAATCAACAACCTTTTATTCATCATGATCGAGGTTGTCGTCATTATTGTATTATGTATAACTTCTGTGTCTTTGTAAACTGATACCAACTTGCAAAATGAAACAATAGTAAATATTCTAGCTTATTAAAATAGTTAATATAATTAATCCATTTATAAATACATCTTTAAAACTTCTTTTGTTTGGTGATCCATTTGGTAAACATTACAGCGAAAAGAAGGCTGACTCACCAAAGTTAAACATTATAGTATGTAGCTTTTGGGGTTGATAATTTACTATTTTTATAGGATTATATAGCATTTTTTATGAAACGGTTCTTAACCTAATTAATATATTTAAGAAATTATTAAGAATAGTATTCTTTTTTGGGTCTAATATTACCGGTGGTATAATTTATCGTAATTTGCATTATTTGTGCTGACCTAAAATTTATTGCATCATATTCTCGAGACTTATTTAGGTTAGTTGAGACAAAGACACAATTGCAATATCAACATTTACTTGTATATTATTTAGATAAGAAAATTTTTGTTAGGTATATACTGAACATAATATGACCCAAAAACTGGACAAATACATCGAAACACATGGCAAACTGCTAATTTATCTAACTTAATCTTATAAGAGTTATAATATAATAATAATGTTTCAAATAATATCTATTCTCTTGTGTTAACCAAACTAACAATAGACTGTACCATTAAGTAGGTACTGGTAACAATAATAAAAAAGGATTGGTAGTTCAGCAAGTATTTTATAAAATGTTAGTACAATTGAATTGTGGCATATAATAGATCTAACTATCTAAGTTATTCATTTATTGAATTAAATATTAATAAATTAATTTCTTTAAACATTTCCATTTTACTTTGGGAAATTCTGTTGTTTTTCGGTTAGTTCATTGTAATTAAATTTAAGAAGAAATATATTTCCTTTGTGTTAATGCACTGGGTTAGACAAATATTTGAGTGGTAATATAAAGACAGAAAAAAAATTATTGTCATTACAAGAATAGCTCAAAACGTTTGTAACGTATTGGAAATACCTTTAGTTCTCGTTAGTTTCTAGAACGACAATAAAATGAAGGATAATGGATATATGTGCTAGACGGACGGCGACAATGGATGGCTCTTTAATAACGTTGCCTCAATCAATAATGAATGAACACAGGCTTTAAACGTTTCTGAACAATTAGTGGCAGCTGCCACTACCACTGCTATAGTGGTGTTTGACATAGAGTCTTATATATGCACTAAATCTGCTGTGCAATGCATTATTCCTATTTTAAGCTAATGCATAATGTAGAAACGTCATAATAGTAAAGAGCACTATAAAATATGAAAAAATTGTATCCATTTCAGGTTGTATGATGCTTGATATGTGTGATGTCGCTACATTATTATTTGTAATTAATCTCAGCTTGAGTCTTTTATTTAAGTACCTAGTAGACATAACAATGTAATAGTAGACGTTTTTTTCTTAAAAACCAAATTTAAATAAAAAAAATTAACATTTAACCGACACTAAAACAATGGTTTTTTTTTTATTTGACTGCTGTAATGCAACAAATAGGTGATTTTAATAGTTAAAATAATAAAGTAATAAGTAATATTAAATATTTAAAAATAAGTTTCATGTCCGTCATAACATAGTTATTTTAAATTAAAACAATCATAACTATATAATTATATACTTATATTATACCACATATAGTACATAAATACGTACAAGAGTTATAAAACAAAAGCATATTATGTATTATATGAATGGGCATATTATTTTGTATACATTTTAACAGTAAAAATGTTCATATTTAGATATCTTAAGCAAATAATGTGATAGATACCTACATTATAGTTACAGAAGCGCTTTTATAATTACAATGGATGGAGATATGTACGTCATTAATCATTTTATTAAAGGTAACTTTAATTAAACTAATGATGAGGAATGATGGGGTTTCACTGTATCTGATATAAAAATATGAATCCTAGTTATAAATAATGATATTATTTTGATAGTTAGATGTATTTAATATTGTTTTTACGAAGTATCAAAACCTACTAGAACAATATGGCTTTTCTAAGATCAATAAAATATTTTTACTTACGAGGAATGATCGGGGCGTAGACAGGCACACAGGATCGTCCATTCCAAAGTCTTGGCACGAAAATTGCAATCGGCCATATACTTGTATAGTCGAAATGCCAGTTTTTCCCATTTCTAAGAAATCGTATTTATTTACGCCATCGGAAGTATACTCCACCTATAAAAGTAAGTTAAAACACAGCAAAGATCGCAAATTAATACACCAAAAATAATTATTTTGGCACCGAGATCTCAAATAATTTTGGCTTAAAGGTGGTTTAAATAGTTAAATCTAATCTTAGATACGTATTATTAAGTCCAGTTAGTTAAAAAATGTTATTGTACCAACGAATAGTATAGATAATTTTTTTAAGTTAAACTCAATGAATATACAATTAAAATAATTAACACATTATATAGAATTCAAAATAAACAAATAACATTTTTTCATTTTCATTTTATTTTTAAACTAAAATCCATCATTTATTATTACGGAATTCGTTGTTGGACCGGTACCCACTAATTATCTGACTAGGGGACGTTAAAAAGCCTCCTTGGTGAATTATTCACACGCAATATATCGTTTACACTTAGCAATATTATTATTACTATGCAATAAGTAATGCTATTTCTCTAATGTATATTTTGAGAAGCATAGGTCAATGTTAAAATAATCTTTATAGTTGAACTTGTAACATTTTAAACGTAAACAACATGTCAAAAGAAAATTATATTTAAATAAAATTAAGTCAAGAGTTATCCATCAGTTGGTCACAATAATATTATGTCATGACATGAATGTATCAATTTTGCATACTCAATGCGCCGTCGTTTAAATATGAATATAATTACGAAATACAATATTTTTATAAATTATATTGTTGTATTGTCCGTAAAATAGGTCCGGTAAAGTAAAACATAATATCATATTATTATTACAAAAATAAATAATGCATGATAAATAAATATTGATAGTGAGTTAATAACTAAAATATAAATTTGTGATTTGCGATAATATGTAGTACCTACCAATAAAATATCGACTTTCATACAAAAAACAATTATAATAACTTAGGTTGTAGACAATACTAATAGATCCCAGCAGGTTAATATTTCGTTTTGAAACTGTATACAATAACTTGTATTATTGTAATATTTGTTTAATAAATAAAGTTACACGAGCATTATGATTTATTTTGTTTATTAATTAAATTTAGATTTATTAACAAATGCAGTTATTGTGTAAAAGTTAAAATATTTTTATTTATTTTAAATTGTAAACAATCATAATATAAACCTAAAGAAAAATATTAATAATGATGAAACTATGTTAACTTAACAAGTTAATTTAAGAATATACTACATGATAACATAATAAATATTGTGTATATAACACGGTTTTATTTTTTTGCCATCAATTTGGTTATTTAACTGTACATACAAATGTTATCTAAAATAATTAAATACTAATATGATATTTAATTGGTGGAGTTGGGGTGATTGTGAACTTGTTTAGTACGTGGTATAATAGAATACATTCAAGTTAATAAAATAAATAAGTATATATTTATATTTTATACTAATCGAACATTTTTGTTATTCATTATAAGAAAACCATGTTTTTTAATCAAATATGATGACATTTCAAATGTAGTTCTAAATAAAAAACTTAAGATGTGTAGTGATTTAATTTTAAAAAATAAAAATAATAAGAGAAACGTTTTGAACAATGTGAAAATATAATACTAACTACAATTTTTATTTATAACAGCTGTATTACACGGGATGGCCTGGGGATAAATGAAACCGAGACGGGCAATCCACTTGAGGCGGATAGATTATAAGTAACTATATTTTCTTACGTGAACCAATTTCAAGCAGAATTAATCATATATGTGATAATAATTTTGATAATATTAATATCAGGTAAGCCATTTTTAAATAACTGGTAAAATCTTTTATCTAAACCTTTCATACATTTTCAGAATCAGTGAAGTATTTTTCGATTCTTTAAGCCACAGCAACATACACTTTGTACTTCTAACCTAATATTTTTAATCTAATTTCTCTAATTTGAATATTGTTTATTTATATACATACTTATTTCAATATTATAATTTTACAATAAAAAATTAGAAATAAATCATTTCTATTTTGTATTATAAAATGTGATTTCGTGGAAAAAACTTTTTGGAAAAATGGCATTGAGAAAAATAACTTTGAGAAAAAAAAATCTTGAAAAACAGATTGGGAAAAGTGGTCTCCCCTGTCCAATAAAGTATTGTTATAATTGAAGAACAAAATATAGTTTGTAACGAATGTTATAAATCATAACTTATAATCAGAGTTTACCATTTCACCAATAATTATTACTTAAAGTTATTGTACCATAGAATATAATAATATTTATATATTTTACTTTTCGAATGCATCCCACGAAGTTTGTGCTCGCTTTTGTGCCCGGTAACGCAACGGTGTTATCACTGCCACCCAGGTATAAGTATCCTAGGGTCAAGGACGTAAACGCACCCGCAGAACTCCCTTGTTCACCGTACACTTCGTCCACTGTCACGGCCAGCTGTAATAAACAATGCAAATACGTATAATAACGGTATATATTAGAGATAGAATGAGTGTGGTAGATAGAGACACAGATACAGACATAAATAAATGCACTGCTTTTTTTCTTACACCAAGAGAACGCGATCGTAATAAATCATATTTTCACGGTAAGCACATATTATTTAGAATCATTGCTCTATTTTAGAACTTGGGCACATAATTAAACGCCATTGCCCTTTATACAAAATACAAAATATATTTCTGAGTCTTTTTTTTTGTGACGCACCTCTGCTGGGCTTAACGGTGACATTTATTATACGATTTTTTGTACACATATAAAAACTAGGTAGGTACTATACTCAGTAAATTCCCCAAAAATAATATCATACAATAATATTATTATTCTAATAGAAATGGGACTCATACAATTTGTAGACGTTAGTTTGGTTTGGTAAATTATATTCAGTGACAAATGGAATGGAATTCGCATAAATCTAATTCCATTTAATTCCATTCAAATTGGAATGTAAAATGCAGTTGATATATACCTATATATATTTATGTGTTAATATGCGTGCCAAGTTCTTAAGCCTTTATTTATTAAATTGGATTCATAAATTTTATTATGCAAAGACTGCGTGCTCTACGTTATATAACACTAACATATAATATGGTAATGAATTTCTGCTTTAATTTGCTACCATTACCATAATATAATTTACTGTTTATTTATATATTTTTATATTTGTTATAATATAAGTTATAACTTATGATGAAATATAAATTGAGATACCAGAAAAATGAACAATCAAAAATGGAGGTCCCGATTCATTATCATCTATAATGCCAAGGTATCTATTACCAATTTTTATTAAAATGCAATAATAATAATAATAATAATAATAATAATAATAAAAAATAAAATCATAACCTCCTTAAGAGATACTGATAAAATGAACCAACGGTGGTAAAATAAGCTCAGTTGCAAAAAAAAGAATAAGTACGTATCATTGATTACATGTTCCCAAGATACGTCATATTATTATGTCAGATTAAAGTGTTTATTTTGTCTTGAATAAATAATATTTAAAATTATGAAATTCACATTTAGTAAACAATTGTAATAATAGTTTACGACAATAATGCTTTACTAACAAATCGTCGAGAATATTGTTTATGAATTCATACAAAGTTTACACAATGTTTGCCTAATATTAATTGGGACATAATCAATTATTATAACAAATCATATCGTCAAAATACAAGTTACACATTCAAATAAACATTGTGAAAGTATAATTATTCCATAGTAATTAAATGTCGATGCGTCGACAAAACATTTTAATGATCAGTAGTTTGTTTCAAATTATAATTCCATTAGATATTGAAGGTACAATTAATTTATATAACTGCTAAAAACGGAAAAAGGAAATAGTATATAATGATATTATGTTATGCATATAATTATTTCTTTGTACTCGAATGTATATCTAACGATACTTAAGGATCATTTTTAGTGAACTATACTACAATTAAAATATTTTTGTTTTAATGTGTTTGTGCTACAATAGATTTCTCCTTTACATAAAACACAACGTTTTACTTTACTTGTTTGCTTAAAAAAGTCTAGTCATGTTTTGTTAAAACAATATTTCGCACATATTTTCGCGCAACTATTGTGAATTATGAACGACAATAATATAACAATAGCACCATACATTTTTCACATATTCACAAATATTTATTTTCCGTATTCTCGAGACACGTTAATTTATGTTGCTTATGACGTTTGTATTTATTTGGTTGGCGTTGCGTAAACGTTGACAGTATTGACACAACGTATAATATTTAATTTGTGTAAAGGTTATTAAATTTTTCAAAATTAATAATTGAACTTCAATATTTGAATCAAATTTAATGAAGTTGTTTATTTGATTTTATTTGTAAATCGTAAAAATAAATGTTAATTCACACTGCCTACACTTTATTCAATCAAATACATTTTGATGTGGTCACTGAAAACCAAAACTCTCAAGGTAGACTGTATTCAAAGTTAAGATATTTCCAAGGGTATTTGATAACCTTTAAATTAATAACTGGCTTTTTTAGGGAATATTTTCTGTTGTTGCTATAATTGGTATTTTGGTATTTGTAACAAAATCAATTTAAGCTAAAATTGTAACAGATATTGACGTTGAATATAAACTATAATTAACGGGCATAATAAATTGATTTTAACATTTCACATGTTAAAATATTTATAGTTATTGGTATTTGCTATTCATATTTTATGTATTCTTTGTACGTTTAATAATAGTTTTATTTATGTTTGTATTGATTTAGTTTATAATCTACAATTAAAGAAAACAAAAATAGTAAAATGTAGGTGTAAGATAAACGAGTAATAAAAATACTAAATAGCTATAATTAGTACACGGTTTAATTTTCTGTGGACAATTTAAATAAAATTCGGTTTATACATACATTATAGTTTGGCAGATTAATTAATAATGTTGGAAAAGCAAGTTTTTTGTGATAACAACGAACATAATAAACTTTTTTTTTAATCGAGATCATTATAATTTAATTTTGCATATTATAATAATCATCTTGAGATTCCACCAGACTCAATTTAATATTTTTTAGTAATTTATTTTAAAACCAACAGTATATTAAAAGCAGTTATTTTCTTGACATTTCTGTTTAAAATTAAATTATGCACTCGAGTCTATAGAAAAACGTATTTTTCTAAAGCTGTAGTTCGCTTGATATCATGACTAATCAATAATAATTATGATATACTGACTATAATATATTGATTGCTTATAACAAGCATTCATTTTATTGTAAAAATATTTTTGCAGTAGGTACATTCTTTCGCTACTTAAATGTTTTAACAGCGACGAAATACATTAAAAACATATACATTGGTAAGTTGTTATTTATTGAAACAATTTTTACTTATTTTAAATTTCATATAAAAATATAAATTTACATAATGAAATTGAATAATAATTTCGTAATGAAGTCAACCTTAATGCATACGATATGAGTCATGACAATTTGTGTATGTATCTCATTTAGCACATAAGCAGCAGACAAACAATTTTCCTACCTGACAAGTAACTTAGTGTTCTTATTTTATTCAAATTTTCAGTACATCTTACATTGTTGAATAAAAATTAATGAGCAATGAAGCACATTTATAGAAACCTTGTTTACAACGGTTTCTGTAAATTATTAAAAATTTTTTTTATCAAGGACTAAGCGAGTACGGTTCTTATAATATTATTTCGTGTAATTATAACTTTTGGTAAAATGTTCAAAATCATGTTCATAATAATTATTATGGTTACTTTTTTTGGTATTATAAAGATTGCAATACATTTTTTTTTTTATATTTGTTTAAAAATTACAAACCTTGCAAAAACTGGTGACTGCAGATATCTAAAAAAAAAACATAAAGTTATGATTAGTTAAAGGCAATATTTCACAGTTATAGACACAATATTCAGACATAATTAGTTATCTCATCTAACATATTATCACAATTTATATACGTGATTTAGTGTTTATTTATTTTTGTAATATAAAAAATGTATATAATAGTTTACATAATATTATAAAATAAACAATACATATTAGTTTGGTAAATTAAATTAAATTTTTTTAAATATTTTAAACTTTCCGAGGTCATTATTTTACAAATTTTAGTATTAAAATATTAGAAAATTTCACGAAATATGTTGCATAGCAAAAATGTAATTTAAAACGAAGTCGCTATTATAGTATATGTATTTTTTTTATTTAATGCTATATTCGTTAATGCGACTTTCAACATTCAATTTAAATTTTCTTTTAAATTTTTCTTTGTCCAATATGAATACAATTTTTCAGATATTTTAAGAAGAAAATACGCTCTTAAATATTTCATGGAAGTCATGAACTAATCCATTGCCCACTGCCCTCTTATCGTTTGCTGACAACCACTTTCAAAATTAGAAAATTTAGTTTTGACGGATGAACAAACTGCCGTGTGTCTGATGTCTGTAAGAATTAATGTCTAAAGAGCAATATCGAGAATTAAAATCCTTACCCCTTGTACTTTGCGTGTGACTGATATCTTATGCCATTGGTTATCGTCAAACCTTATTCTGTTTGGCTTTATAAACATATCTAATGAGCCTGTGCCCACTCTCATCGTCACTGTAATACCACCAGTAACGATACCCACATTTAAGTAGTTACTAGAGCCGTCTCCTGAAACATAAAAATATACAGTTGTTATAATCACTTTTGGTATTGTTCAAATAATCGTGATTATGTAGCCACAAACGACGAATTCTAAAGTGCGCTGTAAAAATAATGACTATTGCAGTATAGTTAAGTACTAATAAAATTTAGTATACTAGATTATTTGGTATTGCGATTCTATTAAATATTAAAAATAACATTAAATTACATACTTGATATGTATTTTTTTTATTCATTAATCATACATGTTTAAAAGTTACAAGCAATGGTTTTAGTTGACCGGAGCTATCAAAATCATTTATTAAATATTTATTATTACATTTAAATATAAAAAAAAATAATCATTCTATCCGTGGTTGAGTGATTAACACTCGGTAATCAACAATACACTTGACACAAGATATTACATTTTGGCATTAATTATTAGTTATTTATTCAACTACTATTGGTAAAAGATGGATGATCATTTTTGATGCGAACACTTAAACGTTTTCATTACGTATTTGATAGGTAGTTAAATAAAAAATAGTAAATAAATGTATTGCTTATTACAACTTCATCTTAAACATAATAAACTTATTCATAATATTATATATTATTTTCTAAAAAGTTTACTTTCGTGTTTAATTATTTTCATTCTTAAATTAACTTGTAGTTATAAAATTTGGTTAATCTATATTAATATTAGATATGATTTAATATAAGACAATTTAATTCGGTTAGATAAGATATTAATTTTTGGTCGTAAGATGCTAACACTCTATAAACACTCTATAATAGCAATTTGATTGATGGACATTAAATGTCGGTAATTACTTGGATTAATATATTTAAAATTATTTTATCTGAAAATGATTCTAAACGAAGTTTTATTCGTAGACTTGGCTTGGAATTTTATCATGCAGGAAGTTTATAGATTTTACATTATAATGAGAACATTAGAAATGTAAGCATACTTAATTTAAGCACATATAGTTTATACTTAATTTTTAAACGGTCACATATTATGTCACAAGCACACTTTCTCTCGACACCTTAACAAAAAAATGGTGGAATTATTTAAATGCCTTGCCGAAAAACTGGCCACCCACGTCATGTTCAAGCAGCCAGTCTTAGGATGAGATACATTAAGGTCGGCCCCTTTGTTTCAGTGTGCGTAATATCGTCTAACGTATATTATGTTCATATAAATTACGTAAAAGTTATCTAAACAGTCGTGGTTAGTACACCGGATTTCTTACTATTATTTATTTTGTGCAATTATTTACATCGATAATAATTTGTATTTATGTCGCAAACAAGTGTTTATTAATAATGAAAACCGAAAAACAATATTCTACTCATTATTACGTTTTTGAATCTTTGTAGGATTTTATCTTCCATTATTTACAAGAGTAAGTGTTGTTTACTACAGCTATGATTTATTACAAGTGTTTGAGGCTTATTCAGACATTATTATTCACGACCCCACAAATGAATAAATTTCATTAGATAGGAAAACGTGATGCAGTATAAGAGAACAACTGGTTAACCTTAAAAACGATTTATATGATATAGATAATTATACGAACAATATTATTATGTTAAATCTCAACTGTCTACGAAAAATATACCAACAAGTACAATAATTGTAGGTAATTTAATCCAATATTATCAAATGAAAATAACTTGTTTTATACATTTTAACAATCAACTTTCATTATGATAATATTTTCATACATAATCAACCAAATAATGTTGAAATATTATGTTTAATGAAACAATTATTTAATATTTAGCAATATAAATACTAATTAACTAACATTTCAAGTATTATGTTGAATTTATTAATTTTAACATCACGTCGACAACATTTGCCATAGATTGTTTCACTGTTAATTGTATCCAAAGTTATTATAGTTGAAATATTTTCTTCACAAATACATTTTATATTTTTATAAACTACTAACTAATAAATTGTAATTAATTACTAAAATATGTCTAAATGTGCAGAATCCAATTACTTACAAATTTAATAATTTAAAAATAATTACTTATGTAATATCATTTTTAATGAGAAATTAGTATATTTTTAAGTTTATTTAATGCAACGCAAATTTTATTCTTACCCATGTGGTAAAGCAGTCCAGCTGGTTTTTTAGTTTTGAAATGTAATACGAATGAATCTCCTTCGGTGTTGCCGTCGAATGCATATTTCAAAAATTCTCCTCCAGTAAATGAAGCTTCTGCCATTACCTTATCTGTGGGTAACAACAAATAAAATTCTGTTTACTATTTTGAAAAATAATAATTTAGTTGACACATTATTAATTGTACCATGATACAGAAAATTCATTCCCAAATAAATAATAATTGTTGTGCTACTTAAAACCACTAGCAGACACGGTGTACACACAAATAGCCAAAACTACTTTGGATTTACTTCTACTTTTGAGTAGATGGGCTTTATTTCTATCATATTTTATAATTAAATTAGATAAATTATCTTCACTCGTTTGAATTTTTAAGTTTTTGAACAGTTCCAATGAAACTAGAAATTCATATTATTAAATATAGAAAAAAAAACAATTCAGTTTTTAAATTTTATATTTTTTTAACTCATGTGGTTTTGTGTACGATGAAAATATGTAATGTATTAAATTGATATGTTTAAAGTATAGAGGTACGATTTTGAACTTTGAAGTGTCTTAGTGTAGGTACAATAATATTAAAAATCTTTTAGTGCTCATCTGAAGTAATTTTTCTTCTTTTGATGAAGGTATACCTAAGCAGTATACTTTGAAAAAATTTTGATATTTAAAATGTTTATCATCATAAAACATGTATTTGCGGAAACAACAGATTTTAAAAATATAAAATTGTCTATTAGTCTAGTTCAGTGGTTCTTAACCGGTGTTCCGCGGAACACAGATGTTCCGTGGACTTGGTATAAGTGTTCCCAGAAAAAAATTTGTTTAGTTTCATTGTCTTAACATTTTGACTTTTATGGACTTCCAAAACACAAAAGTATAAGACGTGTATTATAACAATGTACTGTGTAGTTTATTGACTCCATTATTCAAAAAAAAAAGTAGACTGCATGTTTCCTTCAGTTAAAAATAACAATAAAATAATTCATATTATAACAGAACATTTAGCATTATTAAAAGAAAAAATCATGAAATAATTTCCTGACTTGAATATTGAACAGTTTGAATATATATGAAATCCATTTTCTACCATCAATACGTCATGTTTTGATTTTACGTTTGTAGGAGAGGAAGAATTCTTAACGTATAACAGATCGACCTCTCAAAATTAAAATTTTCAAAATAACAGTATTTTGGATTTCCGTTCAAACAGAGTTTAAAACAACGATTTCAATTTTATTACAATTTTTAACATCTTACTTGTGTGAGCTTGGATTTTAAACATTTACGAATATCAAGACAAAGAACGAGGAAGGCTGAAAAATATAGAAGAGGAAATGAGAGAAGCAATATTCTACATACGTCCGAATATTGAAAATATTTGTAAGAGTCATCAGGTTCAAATATCTCTTACAAATTACCTATTCCATTTCAAATTTTTTAATTTTTTTTTAAACTTTCTTTATTATTTTATTATTTTTTAGTGATAACACTAACATGTACTCGAACTGTTTTAAGTTTTACATGCATTGTTTAATATATTAAAAATTAAAAAATGTATATATTACTAATTTTATTACTAATTTATTTTACGGCTGTCTTCCGCGAAAATATTATAAAATGTTAAGTGTTCCGTCATTAGTTTAGTCAACGTTAAGTATCACTGGTCTAGTTGTATATAGTTTATACAAAAATTAACTATTAATTTTCTATTTAAATAAATTATAAATTATTAAGCTAGGTAACATTTATTTTTTAGTATTATGAACCTATCAATGGCTAACTAAGGAAACCCGTTATTTTGATATGTTAATAATAATAGCCTATATTATATTCTTATTAATAACGAAGTGTCAATATATTTATTTTGTTTTATAACGAATAAGAAAACTAAACAAATACAGGAAATAATGTTTTGCCTAATATTTGCGTATCCAACTGGCGAGCATACAGTAATATATTGAAACTAATTATTATATGAACATAATTTGTAATTATTTTGAATTTTATAAATTGCTTATAATTTTGAGCTTATAAAATGGTTTATTAGACTTTTTAAGAGTTTTTATTGTTTTACGTACAGCATAAAATAAGCTAGGAATTAAAACACTGATATTGATTTATGACTTAAATAAAATTATGTACACATCATAATTTATACAATGTCATTCTAGCTATGTATTGATTTTTCAGTTAGTTAATAACATTGGTACATTTAAATTTAGTACCTGTATAACTATACTTTATATTAAAATAAACAATATTTAGAATCTTTGCATACTTTGTTTTATTGTGCCTCTACAACAGATATTAAGGTGCATATTATATAGCCTAAAGTATTGAAAAAATAAAAACTCAATTCTTCAAACATAATAGATTATAGGGTTACACCTTTATCAACAGCTGAATCCATACTTAATTCATTGTTTTCAAAAGACAAACTTATTATGTTAAAATTACAATTAGTGTGGTTACATTTTGTTTTAAATTAATAAGATACTTATAGTTGCAAACGAGGCTGCCTATCTTAAAATTTGTTTAATATATCAAAACACTATAATTACATTTCCTAAAGCAGATAAAAAACCGTGAGTCACATACATTTGAATGAAGTTTCAAAAAAAAGTTATAGGAACATTAAAGTATTTATCGTGCATAAAAAAAATAAGATAGAGTGGGTGTTAAGTCTGATTACAATAATGGCATTTTGAGCTTGCCTGCTAGCACAATAGGATTGTGCCGATAGACAGCTGCTAAAAGTTAAAGAAAAAAACAACTTGTGTGTAATGTGTGTACCTATTCACATACAATTTGATTTTTTCAACGTTTTACTTTCATTGTACTCCTCAGTCAATACTTCTACGACTGTGAGGAAAAAAATGTACTTACTGCATTTACAAATATTTGGCAGAATGTGTGTGTATAGGAGGAATAAATACGAAGCAGGATTTCAACTTATTGCCCACATTTGGCAACATTTCACCAATATTAATGTAAATTAAGAAAATTAATTTTAAAAATAATTGAAAATACGTCTATTTTCAATGTTATTCATCTATTAATATTATAAATGTTGTAACGGACATAATATTTTGTGGGTTTGAAACATCCTTGGGGACTTATGACCCTAAGTTCCACAATATCGAAGCATATACATACATTTATATGTAGTTTAATAGTATATATTATACCCAACACTAAATTTTACTTTTTAAAATAAAAATGCCTTATTGCCACTTTACTATTACGGTATTTCAAGTACTTTCATTATTTATAAACGATAATCCTATATTTTATACTATTTTCTTTATTTCTTAATCTATGACAGAATTTATATTTCTAAGAAATATTTACGTATAAATATCGAATATATTGAACCAATATTTTTTTATTCATAACCATTTAATGTTTGGGTAAGAGGGGCGAAGTGGCTATATAATAATATGGAACTCCCCGTGAAATGTTGGAGCACTGGTTCTTGAATCTAAACCATAAATTCTTTCTAACAATAAACTATCGGTTCAATAACCAAAATGTATGCATATACATGTCGTAAATATAACGGCTGTCTTACAAAAAAAAACTAAAATCAATCAGATAAAAAAACGGATTTTCTTGCAAAAATAGTGAAAGAAAATCGAAGAAAAAATCATCCGGTACGTAAATGAATTCCTTTTAAGTATTAATATTTTTTAAGATAAGATTGTATTAAATTTTAAGCTTTTTGAATGAGCGAAACAAATTGAAGATATTTATGGAAAAAAAACTAAAACAATCGAAAATTGAAAATGTCTATGAATAGCTGAAAATGTTTTGAAAATTCTATCATAATAGAATAAAGTACTTTATGTATAAAGTACTAATATAAATAGTCGGTGATTCGTTTTATAATAACAACAAAATAAGAACTGGTTCCATGAGAAACAAAAACTTAATATAGTTTTGAATTGCCGGTCATATTGTAATTGCAATATTTCGTACATTTTATAACTCCTAACTTTTTTTTGTCCCCTGAACAATGTTCTATTATTTTGGGAAACATTTTTGTTTGCCCTGTGTAAATGTATAATACAATTTTTAATTTTAAATAAAATATATTAAACTATGTGTTATAATTTATTTATAACACAAATAATACGCTTCACGTCATTAGACAATGTTCAAAATAATTTTAATGTGCTTAAGGTAATGTACAGTTACAATTTTTTTTGAAAATATTATGGTAACGCATTGTTTGATAACCACTTTGATTGTTGGGTATCGTGGCGTATAACGGTATCCTACGTAATTTTCGATTAAACTAATGTATCATGAAAATATTTCATTAAGACTTGCGACGACAATTTATAATACGTGCAGAATTACATACGAGCATATTATTTTACATGGCTACAAAGCAAAAGGCAGTAATATCAAAAGATTATGATAGTGAAAAATGTGTGTTTTAGTTACACCACAGTTCAGTTTTTACAATGAATCTACTATACTGTGTTAAATGAATATCACAATTTAAAAGTTCAATAAATATATAGCAGAAAGGGAAGAAAAGAAATGCAAATGTCTAGTCAAATTCATATTATCGTTAGACAAAGCAATATAAATAAAATGTTCTATGCATATTATGATTGTCTGTGCATAGTGGGCATATGTTGAGCTCCAACCGGGAGATGGGGAGGGAGTTATAAATATAATATGTCACATCAAGTAAAGAAGTACCAACAAAACTGCTTTTAGTATCGACTAAGTGTTAAAATGTCAGAGCATTGAAGTATTTGCATAATATATTGTACGTGATGACATCAACGCTAAGACGCCAAACTCTAAGACGCCCACTTAACTTGCATACAGCTCTATATCGTTGGATCACCGTTCACTCTCATCAACAACCATTGTTAAAATACGAGTGATCCTTAGAAAACGGTCGCACAGTAAATTATTATAGGTATACTAAACAATCGTACCTACACCAAATAGACTCCTCCAATGTCTCGCCAATTGGCGTAGAAATGTTCAGAAAATGATGACAACTGACCGTAATAACTCAAGAACGCATATTATGCAAAATGGATATGAATTCAAACTTTGCATACCTCATCTAAAACAACATCTGT